TTCTAATAATAAATCAGCATATTAGAATGATTTCTTAAGGATCATGTGACACTTTAGACTGGAGTAATGGCTGATGGAAATTCAGCTTTGCATCACAGAAATAAATTATATTTGAAAGGATATTAAAATAGAAACCATTAATTTATATTGTAATAACATTTTGCAAGATCAAACATTTTGATCAAATAAATGCAGCCTTGATGAGCATAAGAGACTTTAAAAAACATTACAAGTCTTACTGATCCCAAACTTTTGAAAGGTAGTGAATATATATATATATATATATATATATACACACACAGTATATATGGAAATGGTTGTCATCTGTTCTTATCTTATGGTTATCTCTTCTTAAGGTGAGTATCTCTGCTCTCTTAAGTATAAGCATCTCCAGCCACAATCAATAACTCATAGCACAAGTAATGGCAGCACACTTGACCTAGCCATGGCCATTCAATTTACGTCCCTGTGCATTAGCTTCACTGTTTCTCCTGTAACTTTCTTAGGGGTGTGCCCTTCACTTCATGGATGTGACTGACTGTTTTGTGTCACGGTGAACTGAAATTTGTATTTAAATATGCTTGTATTTAAATAATAGCATGTGCTATGGTAACTGTAAAATAATACAGTACATAAAGATTGGGCCCACACACAGAGCTGGTCTGTCTTAGTTTGATGGCATGCATCTCTTTATGTATCCTTTGTGTTGTAATCACCCTCATCATTAATTAATTTGACCCTTGTTTGCATGTTCTCCATCCAAGCAAATAAAGCTTTCTTGGAGTTTGCCTGCACACTGCTTCAGTACAGGATCATTTCAGAAGCATACATCCTCTCAGCACCCATAAGTCACAGTGTCAGTGGCACTTAGCATTATTTGACATCCTTAACCCCTCTGAAATGCATTGCTGCAGTTTTATTCCACACACTCAGCAGTTCTGTTTGGGTTGTATTAAAATCTCTCTCAAAGCACTTCTTAGCTGAGGAACCTGCCTTTATTCCTTTGGGAACGTATGTAATACTCATATAACTAGCATACTCACTTGAGGGGTTTTAAAATGTGGTTTTGGGACCCCTTTTTCTGTGTTTGAGGCTGCTTGGATGATTGCAGTAGGGATGAGAAATATATTGAGTATATTGACATTGATTTTGGGCTCGGTAATAAGTCTCTTTTGCTCACCAAGGCTGCATTTATTTGATGAGAAATATCGTAGTGTCCCTGGACCACAAAACTAGTCATAAGGGTCTTTTTTTTTTGGGCTCGGTAATAAGTCTCTTTTGCTCACCAAGGCTGCATTTATTTGATGAGAAATATCGTAGTGTCCCTGGACCACAAAACTAGTCATAAGGGTCTTTTTTTTCAATTGAGATTTATACATCATCTGAAAGCTGAATAAATAAGCTTTCCATTGATGTATAGTTTATTAGGATAGGACAATATTTGGCAGAGATTTGAAAATCTGAAATCTGAGGGTGCAAAAAATCAAAATATTGAGAAAATCGCCTTTAAAGTTGTCCAAATGAAGTCCTTAGCAATGCATATTACTAATGATAATACATGTTTATATATTTACGGTAGGAAATTTACAAACTATCTTCATGGAACATGATCTTTACTTAATATCCTAATGATTTTTGGCATAAAAGAAAAATCGATCATTTTGACCCATACAATGTATTTTTGGCTATTGCTACAAATATACCCATGCTACTTATGACTGGTTTTGTGGTCCAGGGTCGCATATAATAAAAACAGTAATATTGGGAAATATTATTACATTTTAAAATAACCGTTTTCTATGTAAATCTTTTTTAAATTGTAATTTGTTCCTGTAATGACAAAGCTGAATTTTCAGCAGCCTTTACTCCAGTCTTCAGTGTCACATGATCCTTTAGAAATCATTCTAATATGCTGATTTGATGCTCAAGAAACGTTTCTTATCAATGTTGAAACCGTGATGCATATTTTAAGATTCTTTGATTATTAGAAAGTTCAAAGGGTGCTGTATTTGATGTATTTTCTAAATACTGAAAAGAGACTCCTAAAACAAAAATGGTGTTAGTGTTAGTAAATTCAATTGATGTCTGTTACATTCAAACAGTCTATTTTAATGAGTTGTTTCAAAACTCTGAAACAAAAATTTATTTTTATATATAAATTGCCCAGCCCTATGATGCAGTCAATGATAAAGGTTCTTCACAATCTTCAGAGCCACAATGGCTGCCTTGTCTCTAGCATGAGCCTCAATGGCTGGCTTCTAGAATCTAGAATCTCCCTCATGAAGAGGGTTTCCGCAATCGAGAGCCCAGGGTCTTTCCTGGAGTAAACACAGCTCGAATTGTGCGGCAGCCGGATATGAGGAGGAGGAGGAGGAGGAGGAGGAGGAGAAGAGACTCAAAAGCTCTCTGTGAAAGCTCATGTTGCTCTTTTGAAGTCCACCAGCTTCTTGCTTTTAATCTGCCTATCTCACTCTCTCCTCGCTCTGGTTGTAATATAAAGGTGTAATGAGCTTTTACATGTAATGTCCTTCTTGCACCAGTGTTCTTAGAGCAGTTTCAAATATTCATTGTTTCTGTGAAGAGTTATGGTGATATCAAAGGCTTGATGCTGCATCTCATGGTCTTACATTGTTATAATAGAAATATAATTATTAGAAACATTTGATTAATATTTATTTAAACTAAATAAATAACATTTTATACAGTACATTTTAAACTAAACGTACTGTATAACACTTTAAATATACACAAAGTAAACAGATGGTTACAGCATGCGTAAGTGCTTTATGCTATCAAAATGTTTTCCCTTCTCTTCAGGCACGTCTTCCATAAAATCTGTGTGGATCCGTGGCTAAATGAGCACTGCACCTGTCCTATGTGTAAACTCAACATTCTCAAAGCTCTGGGAGTTATGGTGAGCTCACACACACACACACACACACACACACACACACACACACACACACACACACACACACACACACACACGTTTGTTGGGTTTCCATGTTTTATGGGAACATTCCATAGAAGTAATGTTTTTTATACTGTACAAACTATATTTTCTATTCCCTTACTCTAAACCTACCCCTCACACAAAACTTTCTACAGTTTTAGATTTTCAAAAAAGATAATTCTGTATGATTTATAACCTCATGGAGACCAAAAAAAAAAGCCCCCATAAGGTCAAAATTTACTGGTATTACTATACTTGTGCGGACATTTGGTCTCCATAATGTAAGGAAAACCAGGACCACACACACAAATTATTAGTTATTTATTAAATATTATTTATTAAAATAATTAATAAAGAATTATATTAATTAAAATGACTACAGATGGATCTAAACAACCACCTCTGTAAAAGAACACCTGCATTTTTAGAAAATTATTCACTTGATGTAATTTTTATTTATTTTTTTAGATATATAATACTCTTGAGGGCATCCCTAAAGAGATGTTTTGTCAAATTTACTGTATAGCTATCTTCTGGGAACAATTTCCCCCAAAGTACAGCTGTGTGAACTCACACTGACTTAAATTTAGTACAAAAACAACAGACACATTGATCTCAGAGGGTAGCAGGTTTTGACATTCATAAGGCTCTTATTTGATTTGTTGTTATGATTTTATTATGATTTATCTTCTTGAAAATAACTGCAGTTTGATTGGGATCGATTACCTAAAATATTACAGATCTGAGCATGTAAAGACATTACTGTAAAAAATGGCAAAAATATGGTGTTACTGGTTGCAACACGATAAACATTGTTACATGATGTAAAGTAATTTGGCCTATAATCTTGTTTTTACAGTGAGGGGTAGAGGATTTATGATCTAGTAGCTCCCTCTGGTGGTCATTTCATTGAATTTTTCATGTAATGTAATTTTACCAAGATTTTTTATTTTTTTTTCTTATTTGGGAGATTTGCATAGAATCATATTTCTGTTAATAAAATTGGGACTAAGACATTCCTGTACTTACAGCCCAACCTGCCCTGCGTGGACAACATGGCTTTTGACATGGATCGGATGTCCCGCAGTCAGACTTCCAGCCAGAGGACAGCGCTGGTGGACTTGTCCTCTGAGACCAGCATTAGTCTGGAGCCCCTACGTCACTCCAGTTCTTCCCAGCTTCCCTCCGACGAAGAGCTCATTCCTCGCTCTGGAGAGATCAACATTTCTGTCACTAGTAAGAGCAGGGCTTATTCTCTTTTTGTCTCTCTTATTCTATCTGGATGTTCTTTAAAGGTGAAGTGTGTCATTTTTGCATCACCAAACTGAATTGCAAATACTGTTTTCAAACAGGCTTGTGGTTTTCTCTGCATGCTAAACTGGGATATTAGAAAGTATTTTGATGTTGAAAAAAGTCACACACTTCATCTTTAAGTTTCTCCGTCACCTTTATTTGCTCACCTCTGTCCCACTTTCTCCTTCATTTCCTCCCCAGCGGGGGAGTTAGCTTTCCTTACTGTAGTTCACTGACTGCATCACTCCACCTGTTGTTCAGGGACATCTGTGTGCTGTGACTCATGTGCTGCTGAGGCTGAGCTCAGTGATGTGACTGTGAGCAGGTGTCTGTGCTCAACCGCAGTGTGTCCTGCCCTTTACTGCAATAAATATTTTGCACTAGACTTCTTAAAGGGATAGTTCACCCAAAAATGAACATTTGATGTTTATCTGCTTACCCCAGGGCATCCAAGATGTAGGTGACTTTGTTTCTTCAGTAGAACACATATGATGATTTTTAACTTTAACCGTTGCAGTCTATCAGTCGTATAATGCATGGCAATGGTAACAAATGAGAGTAACTATGAGAGTAAAAAAAACATGCACAGACCAATCCAAATTAAACCCTGCGGCTCGTGACGACACATTGATGTCCTAAGACACGAAACGATCGGTTTGTGCCAGAAACCGAACAGTATTTATATAATTTTTTACCTCTAATACACCACTATGTCCAACTGTCTTTGGGCACGCGCACGGCATCCGGTGCGTGAGGTGTGTACGCGCTCTGGTGTAGTTTACGTTAATGGGTGTGTTGATATCCAGCCGAAGAGCAATCAACCATAACTTCAGGCGAGCAGGCTCAGAAGTTGGGAATACGTGGAAAGCAGTGGTGTAGTCCTAAAGAAAAGAGTGGTTTACTATTACCCAGTAATATTACCCTATTACCCCCCCAAAAAAAGTTTAATTTATATAGTAATTTATTAATATTAATGCAGTGCACTCTAAAATTGGTTGACAGATAGTAGTCTACTGCATGACTTCCAGGTTGTTCCAGGTCTGTTGACCACATTACAGTTCTATATATAATTTCAAGTTGCTTTGGAATTGTATTCATTGTGAAAAATGTTTTACAGATAAATCTGAATTTAATGTTTTATTTTATGCAACTGGGTAGAAAAAAATAACTTGATATGAATTCATGAAATAAATATTTCCAGATAATATTTTCTTAAATTTGCTTTGGCTTTAGCACAGTGGAAATTTAAAAGACAATAATTTAATACAAAATTATATTTATACTTATAATATGATGCCTAACATTTTTCTCAAACAGCATAAGTGGGTCTTTATACATGTAAAACATATAGCTAATGTTATAATTTAGGAAGGGAATCATCTCCTGCAAGAGGATTTTCCAGCCTGTAGCGTGAAAAACAAAAGTTTTATACAAATAGGCCAATATGGATAACATAAATTACATATAGCCTACATAAAACGTGCAAAGAGAGCTCCCTAAAAACATGTCATTCGTCTTAGCTGATTGCGATCTCACAAAGTTCCGTTATAATCAATGAATCTCTCTGTACTGCACAATTAATCTTTTATTTACATCGTTATAATAAGATGGTTCTCG